TATAGCCTCTATTATTATATATATGGCTATAGATTATCAGATCAGGCCACATTCAAAATCGGCCATAAATATAGAAAATTTTTTATAAGAGAAAAATTTTTTACATGTTTAATTTTACGTATAAAGATAAAGCTTAAACTTAAATATTATTTGTGTAGATATATAGTGTCTGAGTGTGTTAGTATAAAAATAATTTTAAGTGTAACTTGTAAATCTATCTATATACTTGAAATATTATGAGTCAGTATACAGTTAGTTTTTGCACTTCAAAGATTCAATAGCGATGTGCTTTCTTTTAGTATAAAAAAATTAATTTTAAATCAACATCAACTATTTGAAAACTGTTCAATTGAACAGTTGTGTATATTATTTCAACTTCTACAAAAAAATTTAAACTACTGTAAGACTAAAACAAGATATTGACAAGACAATACAATATAATGTAATGAATAAATTCATTTTTTAAATTAACGCAAGACTTCAATCTTGAGATCAAGTTCAAAGCAAGGCAGAAAATTTTAAGACTATTCCACTCTTGTCTTAGCTTTATTGTAATTTAATAGATCTTTTTCACTCCTTGAATATTTTTTTTAATTTTACAATTTAAATTCCTTCTTATAAATAATGTCTCTATACTGGAATTTCATTATAAAAAATTGAACAAGTAAAGAAAAAAATTCCCATTGAGCTTCTATTGCCCCACAAATTTTTTACGATCTATTTATAATTACAAATATTAAAAAGTCTATTACCTTACCGACTTTTCTATTTCAACAATACTGTTTAAGAGCACTCGAACTAAAAAAACTGTCCTCTCACAATTTTTTGTTTCTTCTCATCTATTATCTATAATCATCAACACTTAAACATATATTCTATATCAGAGAAAACGTTCTAAATAAAACCGTTTCGTTTTTCAGGTTTTAAGAAATCGGAAGCCTCTTGAGTACAGAATATAGAAGATGAAATCAACCCAACCGGATTTCTAATTATTTCCAAAGATGTACAACGAGTGGCAAGTGGTAAGGATCCTAACCTCCTCATTAAAATAAAATTGAATCCTATCCATCTTTAATTATATTAACACAACAATTAAGCCCCTATTATATGCTACTATACCAGTTACAGGCCTACTGCCTACGTTATGTTTTATATTCCCTATTATGTATCCCTGCTTCCGGCAATTGATTCATAATTGCGTGTACTTAGACTTACTGATGAAAGATCTTTAACTCCTTACATTTGTGGACATAAAAAGCCAGAATCAATGATGAAGCGTGGTATAATAACACTTACATTACATTACCAAGTCAGAAGTCAATGATCTGTGTAAGGAATTGCACGTCGTTCGCACGTGCCCACTACTTTCCAATGACATTCAGCAATTCTCTTTTTATTCCGTAGGCGATTATTTTATCATATTTCTGTCAACAAAAAATAAACTTAATGTTGAACATAAATATAAATATAGTTGTTCGAACTAAGTTATTTTTTGTAACATCATCATTCTATTATGGAAGGATTTGTTTGATTTCACAAGATTTGTTGATATTTTAAAACAGCATGTTAATAAACATGCGCGAATAAATTTCTGTTAACACATTAAATTTTATTTCAAACAATTGAACATACTTATTATTTATTTAAAGTGTTTTACTTACATGCAATAAAAAATAAAAAAAAAAAAAAAAAAAAAAAAAAAAAACCGGTGTAAAGAAAAAATGTTTAATTTACCAAAAATTGGTTCTACACAGAAAAAAAAATGTTCTTGAATCAACTATATAATTTTGAAGAGCTTGATTTTTCTTAATTTAAGGAAATTGTACTTGATTCAAGAATTTTTCGTCTTGATTCAAGATAATAATAATTATTATTATTATTATTATTAATATTTTTAAATTTGTAATTAAATTGTATTTCTTATTTTTACTTGCCTTGTAAATTATTGTTATTAATATTTTAAATTTGTATTTAATTGTATTTTTGTTATTTTTACTTGCCATTTGGCCAGCAGGCTTTGGCATAAATAAATAAATAATCTAATCTAATCTAATTACCCTCTTCAAAATTATATTCTTGGTTCAAGAATTTTCTCTTAAATCAAGTTAATTTTTTTTTCTGTGTAGAAATAATTAATGAAAGAAAACAAGATTTTGAGAAATAAAATAGGCAATTTTTATGAACATCTAAAAATAAACTCATTATTTAAAAATTATTTCCAGTTTCAAATTAAAAAAAAGTGCATGTAATAATATTTAAAAAAAATTTTTTTGAATTTTTTTCTGAAAAATACATAAAAGAACGAAAATGTTTTAATCTTGACCATTATTGAAGATATTATGAACAAAACACCAAAAAGAGTTTCTTTTGAGAAAATAATAAAAACAATTTTTCAATTTTCAATAGAGTTTTTAAATGGGTTCAATAAAATTAAAAAATTTTCTAAAGATGTTTACAAAGAACAACAATTTAGCTAAAATAAAAAATGTACATATGCTATAAAAGTTTTTATCAACCATTAATAAACTAATCAAAAAATTGTTTTTGATTCAGCAAGACTGTCAATATTACAAGGATTTATTTGAAAATTTAATTGTAATAAAAATCTAATATAAATGAAATTACAGTTATTATCGAAATAAATCTTTCTATAAAATATGATGAATGATGATTGATGAATACACATCTATGTAGTAACAACAATTAATATTTTTTCAACAACATAGAACTTACAACACAACCAGGGAAATTGGTATCCTCTCTAGTTGACTCACTATTGTAGCTTGTAGCTACTAGCTAGCATTATAAAATTTCCCGTTCTAATGCACTTGCTCATACGCCTGGTTATTTAGCGCATAATTTATATAAGAGAACCCCACGGTTGGTTTCACCCCAAAGCATTCGATCCATTGGCGCCAACAATTACTTTTTCGCTATTTATTTGCTTAATAAAATAATAAACCAAAACAGTGACATAACCGGCGACCTTTTAGGAAAACATAGAAGCATATCGGCGTCTTGTGCATTAATCTCAGCGGCTCATGTGGGAGGACATAGAATAAATTATATTTTCTTGTAAATTATATTATATTGTATTTATTTATATATTGTATTACAAAGATCCAACGCCTCGATGAACGGGCAATTAACTTTAAGAATTAATTAAAACCATCTACGCCACTGTACAACAGGAGCAATAGTTGGAAGAAACAACTTGAGCCTCCAGTTGCGTATCGAACATCCTGAAGACTAGGCTGGATATTTTTATTGCTGAATCAATATTTGCATACATGTTTTTTGCGCCTAAAAATTTCACTCTGCGAAACTTGTGTCGAGTCCAGTGAAGTTATCTAAGAAGTTAAATGGAGTTAAATTTGAATTTAGAGTAACCAGACCGTTATCAATTGGTACGTGATATGGCGCCAGATTTTTCGAACCAGTGACCCATTGAACCCAATCGGAGATTTTGTAGCTCACGGTCTAACTAAAGTTAAAATTCGCGATACGAGACGTTAAATCGGTTGGCTCGTGTCTCGATTGTCAAGTGTGTGTCTATGCTACTTTTACGCCGCATGCTGGTGGCCAAGTTTGTACAGACAGTAGACAGTGGCATACCTTGGGCTGTCTCTGTTTCTGTTTCTGCTTCTGATTTACTTACGGTTCCGGGGTACGATGACCCTGATCAAGTGTCATGAACAGTGCATCAACCTATTGATGTATTACTTAACATCTACGATTCTACTGTTACCCATTATTGTTCGCATACAATAATAATAATAATAATAATAATAATAATAATAATAATAATAATAATGTTACGATTGTTGGAAGTGCAGTACTAATAAGGCTGGATTAAGAGACAAATTTATTCATATGAAAAAAAATATATTTATAGCTTCACTTTGATCTTTTATTAACTCCTATTTACTTAAATTTAATTTAATTGGTCTAAATTTTTACGATGATTGAAAGTAATTTAAATTTTTTATGAAAGAAATTTTTATTGAAGCTAAAAAGTTGATTTTTATATATTGACAAAAAGAACTGATGTTGATATTAATGAATTCAGAAATTTAAAGAATTTAACGGCATTTTTGTATATAAAATTTTTGATTGAAAATATTTCTTAAGAGAAGATTTTTTTATAGTTCAAGAATATTTAATTTTGAATAAAAATGTGGAATATTTTTATTGTTAGAAGACAAGCATAATTTGTTACTTTTTATTCATATTTATTATAATTTATAATTTAACTTTTATGAAAATATTGTTCTTTCTGATCAATTTTTACTACAAAAATTTTTATAACTAAAACCAAATTTTTGAAGCTAGAAATTTTTTTTTTAGTCCTTCTTAGAATCTGAATAATTTTTCTTAATTATTTAATTTTAAAAAAATTTACTCATCTTCAGAATCATCTTTTAATGATTTAATTCTAACGTTATTAAATTTGTTTTTAAATTGGACAATTGACCGATAAAATTTATTAACAAACTTATAATTTAAAGAGCTAATTAATTTTTTAATAAATCACAAATAAATTTGTTAATCATCAAATAATTAGTCTCTGATCCAGCTGCTGTTTATAGAACCTCTCGAGTAGTGTAAAAAGGCTTGATTTTTGATTTTGAGAAACTAAAACAAGTTTGTGAAGAGTAGTGTTAGATTTTATACAGCCGTGGAAAACGCGAAAGATAACTCTACTACAAAGAGGCCACTGGTACGGCAATCCCGGTACCAGCTCGTGCAATGACCTCAAAGTGAGCGGAAGTGAGTTGGCTCTCGAGAGTCGTAGCTCGTTTCGATCAAGAAAACATCTCGGCTGCGCCTAGATGTGGAATTTACGCATGTGAGACGCAATGTTTACAAATATAACTAACTAAATGCGGGTAAATGGATTTTTGGTGAAAGGCCAGCCCAGTTTGACTTTCGCAGCTCAGTCGAATTTACATTTGCGATGACCACAATCGCCCGACGGTCACACAGCCATAACCATAGTCATGGAGTCATTGAAACGAATAAAACTAGAGCGTGGAACCAGAAAAAGTTTGTCCACGAAATCCAGCAAGGGAAGCAACCCGTTACTGAATGCACGTGGGTTGCAAAATCTTTCCGGCCCAGACCTAGATCCTAATCCAGCAGGCCTAGCTTCTAATCATCCACTCAAGAAGTATCACCACGGGCTGAATGACGATGTTCCGAAATCCGGTCGGCAAGTCGTCAAAAGATTCAGCAATCCAGAAGCACTTCGGTCAAATATCCGGGGCAATTTCAGCCACGGAATATCTCGCCGGGAAATCCTGGAAAGACGTCGGGAAAATCCGGAAAAATTCACCCAGACACTGCAGCATTGGAAGCCGGGAATTGAAAATGATCGGCGAAATTCTTACGCTGAATCGCGGCCTCAAACTTTGCCGTCGATAGGCAAACTAGCGTACAACCAGGAAAGGGGTTTCCCGATAGAAAATCGCAGGATTTCCCGACAGGAAATCCTTAACCGCAGGACCAGCTTTGAGGCACCCAGGACTCCGGTCCAGGTTGCGATTAGAAGAAAGGCCAATAGTTTACTGGAGCCTCCTAGCAGGATTCTCTTCAATCCGGAGAGAAAGGATGATTCGCGACTCTTAAAATCCTCCGCGTATGTGAAGAATGCCGGGAGCAGTTGCAATACCGGAAAGAAGAGAGAGGGCTTTCTTGATAGAAGAGAAGGTGCCAGATCGGCTGCTGATTTTCTTACAGTTTCCAATCGGCTGCGAGACGCCACGCGTGATCTCGTACCAAGACCCTCGACCCTTCCGAAAATCGTTCATACTACCAGAAATTTGCCCTACGAGTCGCATTACAATATCGCGCTTAGGCAGCCTAAAGAATCCGCGAGCAGGGAGGCGCCGATTTATGGGAGAATTCGAAGGAGAAAATTGTCCTTACCGGCGATTTCGAGGGAGTCCATTCTCAGGAAATCAACGGGAAGTCTTCAGTACTACAGAGATTTGGACGCTGATTCAGTAAAAGAAACCCCGATTAGGAGTTATAGACATTTGGCCGGTGAGATGAAGCTGGACTGTAAGAAATTGTCGGGGACAATTTTGAGGAAATCGGCGTCAAAACCGGCTGGTCAGGATCAAGAGGACAAGGCTGATGGAGGTGATAAAAAGGGACCAAGCTTGATGAAAGATCGTGCGATTTCAAGACGAAGGATTATCAGCAGTGTTAAAGAAAGCAAGGAAGGAAATGATAAATTCAGAAGGACTAAAGATAGGGATAAAGATTCAGGGGATGTTGGGAGTCCGAAGGAGTCAAATGTGATCAGGCGGAGTGTAAATGAGAGTGAAAATAAAATTAAGGGTGTTGTGCAGCCGAAGAATTCTAATTTGAGAGTCAGTACTTGGCACAATGTTAAGTCAAGATCTACTGATGCTAATGCAAAGAACAAAAGTGATGCGAAACAGACTCATTCGACGACTCTGCCTCTTTATATGAAAAGTGTCCGGAAAACTTCGAGCTGCACTAGTTCAAGTATTCCGACAAAAATCGCGTCAAGGACTGCGGAAAATCGACAGCCTGATACGAAAACTTCGCGGTTGGAGAAGTTTAAAAAAAGTGCAACTGTTATTAAGACAACTAAACACACGAGATCCCTGAGTGATATAAACAGCACGAGATCGGTATCTCCGGCTCCCTCGTCTTCGATTTTCGGGTTTTGCACGGGGAGAAGAAAGGTCCAGATTACGGGGAAAAAGAGTCAGGATGCTGATAAAACTAAGGAATTTGTTAAGGGGGATTTGAAATTAAGAAAAGTGGGAATTTTTATTTGTTTTGTTTCATTTTTTTTTTATTTATGATAATAGTGGTATTAAATAGTTTGTTTGATGATTGTTATAGGGTGAACTTGTGTGGTTCGACCCAGGTGTCGGTCATGTGCTACCAGGAGAAGTGTTGGAATACCATCGGGCTGCTAATGTGCTATCAGTACAGGCTGTCATTGCTGGCAAGGTACAATTATTTTTTATGATATTTATAATTTAACTAATTCAACCCCTACGGAAAAAATATATCGACATTCTAATTAGCAAATTGTCTAACTCCATTTTAGAGAATATTCTATTTGTACGACAAAAACAATTAGTTAAAAATTTATTATCACTTTAAAAAACCATTTTATATAATTATTATCTAATAGAGATATAATATTCAGGTTTGAATCATTCAAATAATTTATAATTGGACTATTGCTACATCAAAATGTTAAAAAATCACCCTCTAAAAATAAGGAGTTAGACCGATTGCTAATTACATAGACCGTCGATATACATTTTCGGTAATAATAGAAATATTTTTTCCTATAAGTTTTCTTCTATAATTTTTCCGTGGGGGTGTTACATTAAAACTCAAATAAAAGCCAAAATTTTATTCTACGTAATTTTAATTAACTTTTACATATATTTTTATTTATTTTAAAACTGATAGAAGAAAAAAAATTAAAACCATTGCAGATCATATCTTAAATTTTTCTTAAATACAATTTTTTACTAAAGATAAATAAGATAAACTGAACATCTTGACTTAAGCTAAGAAAATATTTACTTGATTGTTATCTACACTCTAGATACCATTTGAGTACACAGTTACCTGGAAATAATTTTTTCTTTTTATATCAAGTTTATTATTATATAAAAATAAAATGTCGAAAAACAGTTCTCGTTACTGTAATCTAGAATAACCTCATACTAGCATTCTAAAAGATCTAGATCTTGATTAGTGTGTAACAACGATCGCCAGATCTAGAATTCCGAGCGATCGTATCCCAGAACAATCGACCAAATCAATCTAGAGATTCCTTCAGTTCATTTAAATAGAGAGAAAATGATTGATGAATCGATGTAATACATTACACAACAGCAACAATCGATATTGTTATTAGCATTACCACTGAGAATGAGAATGAATATTACAATAATAATTTATTTATTTATTAATTCACTTAATTCTCATTCATTAAAAAAAGAGAAACGTGTAAATATGTCTAAGGACAGTATTTATCACATATTAAAATACCTACATACACATTAACGCATACATAGAAAGTCGAATAATTCGAGTAAATTGAGATACTTTGCGTGCCTCATTAAATGCTTGGACACTTCCGCGAAAGTGATCACTCAGTCATTAGCGCAATAAAAAATAGCCTTTTAATTACCAGTCTTTCAAACTATCGATTTGAATTTATCGATTTCTATTGTTCAAATTGCCGTTATAATTACGCTAAGTTAAAATATATTGACGATGAACGATGATACAATGTAATAAAAAATAAATAAAACATCACACAGGCATTAATTTTTTTTTTTAATTTAATTATACGTCGAGTGAGAGTCAGCGTTTAATTAGTACTAGGATGACGACGCACATCAGCGTAAAATAATAGTCATTGATAAAAATACATCTTCAATTACGCGACGAAACGGAATAATGGTTGTGTATAATAGACGCAATCAAATACTTTGTATTTTTTTTTTTGTAAGACGCAAAGTTTAAAATTGAACATAATTATACGTTTTAAACAAACACTTAAATTTATGTTTTAATTTCCTACAACAAATTATTTTACACTAAAAAAAATCGATAAAATTTCAATTATCAATAATTGTTGGTATAAATTTTAAGATGACTACAACTATTTTTTAGTGAACAAAGTTATTAAAAATTAATAAAATTTTTTAGCCGCTATAAAAAAAAAATTTTTTAATTAAGAGAAAATAAATTTTTTAAAATAGAAATACTAGAGAAATGTCGACACAATACATAAGTGGCTGCGCCTATGTCATAGCAAAGTCAGGTAGGCCGTGTATAGTGCATCCGGTTAAGTTTCACGAACTCTCTTACATATGTGTAGTTTTGATTTAAAAGAACCGTTATTTATTTTTATTTTTATTATATTATTTATAATACACACACTAAAATTAATATAAAAAAAAAAATAAAAACACAGCAAGTGCATATAAATGATTACCAAAACGCACACGCGATACGAAAATTTGTACCGGGTAATTTATTTACAGTTTGCGGTTAGCACTTGTAATAACAACATTCGGTTTGAATTTTGAATACGAGAAATTAAGTAAACATACGAATTATTATTTGAGAAAATGCGTGGAAGAATTAATATTACGTTCAACAACTCGATCGAGCAATGTGTGATGAGGTATTAAGAAACTTTTGATTGCTAGTTTGTTTGGATAATGACTGATAAAAATGCTGGTTTGTTACAATGAAAAAAACCTGTATAATATTGGTATGGCTTTATTCAAAAATAAACTAAATAAATAAAGAGACATCTGCTGTAATATAAGATGTAAAAAAAGACTAATAAAATAATACGAAGAGAAAAATTTCCATTGTTCTCAAACGTGTGTTCGACCTTGGACAACTCGCGTGTGTCGTTAAAGGAATTTAAAGTTTAAAATTTAGCGATTCTGATCCCAGTACTTTTTTGCAAACGAGACACGTTTTAAAAATTTATAAATCTATATCATGTAAAATGTTTTGGCTTTTATTTAATATTGTTGTTGTTGCATGAAATATTGATGGATTAGATCGAGTTTCATACTCTTCGCTTGAATATGAAAGTCAACTTAAATATTATTGCCAAGATGTTGAAAACAACTTTTTTTACAGCCGCAAACTTTTACGCTTACAAACCTGACTGGAGTGAAGCCTAGACAAGATCTTGGACAGAATGGAGTCGAGGATATGATTCAATTGAAGTAATGATAATAATTTTATAATCAATAATATTTATCCTTTGGTTTTTATGTCGATTTGTTATGAAATAAGTGTTATGAAAATAGACAAGGTGTAAATTAAACGGAGCGCTGCATGGCTAGTTTATTTTACAAATATTTTTTGTTGATATGGTTTATGTAAGAACTTTATTTTAATTATGGATATGACAGATTATTTGGACGGTAAATATTTTATTTACACTGGAAAAAAGTTAACTTGAAACAAAAAAATAATTTTGAAGAGTTTCATCGTCTTTAATTAAAACGGAAAATTTTTTTAATCATGTAAAATTTACTCAAACAAAAAAAAATTTTTTAGTTTAAAAATTTTTCGGTAAATATTTACAAGTGGGGTCAACTATTTTAATTTTAATTTTTTTTAAACGAAATTTCTGTTTGATTTTATTGATATATTTTTTTTTTTTGAAAAATACATTTAAAAAATGAACAAGTTAAAAAAAAAATTGATTATCACAATTTTAACAAATTTTCAAAAAAAATTTACAAATTTTTTAGAAAATTGTGATATTCAACTTTCTTTTTTAAATTGTTTGTTTTTTTATGTACTTTTAAAAAAAATGTATATCAAAAAAAGATAAAATAGAAATTTTATCCAAAATCATGAGAACCAAAATTTTTTCCAACTTCTAAAGGCAAAAAAGCTATCAAAATCGTTATTTTTTTTTCTTTCACGACATTTTTGATCATAAATCCACCGTAAAAACAAACAGAATCAAAAAAAAATTCAATAATGTTAATTTTTCACCTAATTATGACCCAAAATAAGGTTAACCCCACTCATAGATAATTAACAATTTTTCTACGAAAATCAACAAGATGAAATTTTTTAAATTTGTTTACTTGATTCAGATGAATTTTTTTTTTTTGTGTGTGGATACTCTTACAAAACTCGATAAGTTTTTAATTACAACACAATATTTTGATTTTTTTTACTAATCATTAAGAAAAAATTAGTAGATAATAACACCTTGCCCATTTTAAAATTAATTATTTTATAACAATAATTACTGCTATAAGAGTACTAGTAATAAAATTAACAAATTTTTGTAGTGATTTAAACGAAGCATCTCTACTTTGGAACCTAAAAATCCGATATGACAAAGAGCTTATCTACGTAAGTTTATTAATAAAATATTTTGCATTAATCTGACAGTTATATTTTTATTTTCGGTTAATAACCGGTTTTTTATCTCATATTATTAATTACAGACATATACAGGCAGTATCCTCGTGGCCGTGAATCCGTACAAGATGTTTGACATTTATGGCTTAGACCAAGTCAAATTATACGAAGGAAGAATCCTCGGAACATTACCGCCGTAAGTGTAAATTAAAAATAAAAAAAAGAATATATAAATAATCATAAATACACAACTATATTGACATTGAAATAATATTCAAATATACTTAATTCCAGACATCTTTTTGCCATGGGTTCTTCGGCTTATAGTCAAGTTTCAGCGGCTAACAACTCAACCGCAAACCAAGTGGTAGTTATTTCTGGTGAATCTGGTTCCGGTAAAACCGAATCTACTAAACTTGTAATGCAATATCTGGCGGCTGTTAATCGTGCGCCAAGTAATCTTGTTACCGAACAAATTTTGGAAGCTGCGCCTCTTTTAGAAAGCTTTGGGAATGCGAAAACACCCAGGAATAACAACAGTAGTCGATTTGGAAAATATCTTGAAGTTCATTTTCGAGAGTAAGTTATTTACAATTACTATTTCATTATTATTTTAATTAAGCACACAAAAAAAAAAAAAACATTTTTTTTTGTCTTAATCTTAACTTTTTTTTATTTAAATTATTTATTTAACTTAATTGTGACTTTTTTTTTTGTCTTAAATCGATTCTAATTAATCCAAAAAAAGTCAAAAGTAAATCAAATATTATGGAAATTTATACTTATAACAGAAACTAATTAGTTAACTTGCTTACTTGCTAACTTACTTAAGTAAGTTAAAATTGAGAGGTTTTTGACTTAAATTTTCAATAAAAATTAAGATTTTTTTTCCACCCGGGCATTTATTTCTTTTCTAATAAAAATTTATTCTATACTGCAAATTTTTTTTAAGAATTCCTTTCTTCACTAATTTGCTAAGAAGTTTATTGACCAATCCGTATACGGAAAAAAGAAAAAGAGAAAAATTACATTATAAATAGTAATAAGCGTCGCTTCATATAAAATACTAGCAGTTCGTCCCGGCCTCGCACGGGTATTTAACAAAAATTTTCAAATTATTTATAATATAAGACAGCCTATGTCACCCGGGAATAGTGTAGCTTTCTAACAATGAAAGAATTTTTCAAATCGATTCAGTAGTTTCGGAGCCTATTCAATGCAAACAAACAATCAAATCTTTCCCCTTTATAATATTAGTATAAGGTACCCGCGGGTAATAAGGCCTATCGGGTAATAAGGCCTAAGTGATAGAAATGCTATTTAAAATAACCGCTTCCGCTAAAGGCTTCTCTAGTAGAAACGTCAAGCATAGAAATGTCGCTACAAGTTTATAGAGTCCCGATTCATCGTTCCCTGTCTTTTATATTTCATCGTCCGTCATATCTTAAAGTAGTGCAGAAAAATTCCTAAAAAACGGTTTGAGTAAATGGTAAACATTTTTTATAATTTTATATTTAATAATTTAAAATCATTGTTCTAATTTTTATCAACATCTTAAGAAGTATTGTTGCTAAATTTAAGTGATGATTGATCTATAATACCAATTTTATTGATTTTAGTATTACTATTTCCAGTATGTTTAATCCGCAGGCCTTATTACCCTCTCGTAGTAAAATAAGGCCTATTCGCAAGGTTTTTGAAAAAATTCAATTTTGTGTTTGTTTATGGTGAAAATTACCATTACTTCATTATATTTTGTGGCTAATGTATTAATATAAAAATTAACGTTACATTTCAATAATTAAATGCAATATTTTCAATTTTTTTCAAAATTTCTCTTAGCTAGGCCTTATTACCCGCCGGTACCTTAGAAGTATAGACTAGAAAAATGCAGTTCGAAATAACATTTTTATAAATTCAAACTTTGAATGTTAATTTTCAGAGCTTTCAATGTAATATTTACATTTTACAATGTAATTCTTAAAAAATCTCTAATAATTACAATCTAAAACTGTCATTTTTCCCGTTTTTTATATGAAGCGCCACGTTACATTATATAATGTAATTTTTCTCTCTTTCTTCTTCCGTGTTGACTATCATCTTCAATTATCTAAACATTATCAACTCAACAGAAGTATAAATCTCTTCGTTAATAATTAGTCTACAAATGTCAAATTTTGTATACTAAAGTTTATTCAACTCATATGTAGTGATAATACTTGCTCAAAATTTGAATTTCATTGTAAACTCAACCTACCCTCCTCGTCCAATAAATCTTCTCTAACCTATTAGTTTGACGGATTACATAAATTTTTTATCATAAATTTATAGCGGAGTGATAGTCGGTGGACGAGTAACGCAGTATTTATTAGAAAAGAGTAGAATAGTAACCCAGGCATCAGACGAGAGAAACTATCATGTATTCTACGAACTTCTCGCTGGCCTTGATCAACAACTGAGAGACAAATACGGTCTTCTTACTCCCGACAAGTATTTTTACCTCAATCAGGTAAACTCTCTTCTAATAATCCTCGGAAGCATTAAGTACCAACAAATAAACAATTAATTATCATGATAAATAATAATTTAAAGGGAGGAAGCTGTCAAATAGATGGAAAAAATGACACCCAAGATTTCAAAGCCTTGCTATCAGCGATGCAAGTCCTCGGATTCACTTCCGAAGAACAGGACACCATATTCCGAATTTTGGCAAGCGTTCTTCATCTCGGGAATGTCTATTTCCATAGAAAGCAGATGAGACACGGTCAAGAAGGCGTTGAAGTTGGCTCGGATGCCGAAATACGCTGGGCGGCTCATCTTTTGCAGATAAATGTCGAGGGAATTATTCGAGCGCTTACGACAAAAACTACCGTAAGTTTAAATTTTTAATTTACGACAGTAAAGTGAATTAGTGTATAAAAAAGTAATTTATGTATTTAGGAAGCGAGGAATGAAAGAGTGTTAACAGCCTTAAATATTGACCAAGCCTTAGACGCGCGAGATGCCTTCGCAAAGGCTCTCTACAGCTCGCTCTTCTCTTGGCTAGTCGCACGGGTCAATCACATTGTTTACAAAGGAACTAAACAAACCTCGGCGATATCTATCTTAGATATTTTTGGGTTTGAAAATTTCACAGAAAACAGCTTTGAGCAATTATGCATCAACTACGCTAATGAAAATCTTCATTTCTACTTCAACAAACATATATTCAAACTAGAACAGCAGGAGTATGCGAAAGAAAAAATTGACTGGACGACTATTAATTATACTGTAAGTTTTTTAAAGAATTATTTATTAGCTTTCTGAAGACTTTTGATGGTTTTTGGAGATAGTTTATCAAATTTTAAGTTTCTTGCATATATATGTTTATCAACACTTTCGAATGAAGTATATTATTAAGAAAATAAGGAAAGTTTTGTCTCCGCGTATATTTACATGATGAAATGAATTTGATTTAATTTAAACTGAGTATAATTAGATAGATCATTACCTGCGTTTGTGCCTTTTTGAGGTTTCATATGCTTTTAAGCAATAGTTCATTTATTATGATAAATTCTCGAAGAAGTTTTAAATAGATTCGAATTTTGCGATAAACGTCATTTGTTTATTTATTTATTTTATTTTATACATGTGAATATGGGTACAAGATAAAAATTAATTTATACAATGAAGAGACTAAGGGCCAGTTTTTCAATCCGAGATAAAAGTACTGCCAATATAATAATAAAAATAAATAATTCAGCACAGTGATATTGCGTACGAGTAGTTCTCCCTGAATTCAGTCACTTATTTTTAATTAAAATAAATAAACATTAGCCGTATGCCACAGAAATATTAATCTCCAACTGTGACAGCTTGCTGATTGTAAATAAATAAAATAAAAATTAGGAAAAACGGATGACCCTGAAGGCCATTCCAGCAACTTTCCGCTAATTCCATATATAAGCGCTTGTAACATTCTTGTTATCGAGCTCCAAATTACAATTTATGTGTTATTTTGAGCTCTCCGAGCTCAGAGCAGTCACTGTTTTATGCTTTTGAGCTCTTCAAGCTAGCTCATATCTTGCGTTTGACATATCTATTATTAATCTATAATTGAGGAGCTGATTTTCAAAAGGGTATCTTTTCATATTTTAGAAGAGGAGTTTTTTAAACTTTTAAATATTAATTACTTTGAGAATAATAAATATTTCTAAATGAAAATCGAATTGTAGTTTCATAACCGATAGCACTTTATAGTTAAATTAAAAAAGTTCAATAAAAATATTTATAATTGAAGATATTCAGTTTTTTATCTCGATTAAACAAAAATGAAAAGATACCCTTTTGAAACTTAACTCCCCAATTGTGTTAATTAATTTAAAATAATTTAAATAACACAATAAGAGGTTATTATTATTTTTATGATATATTTATTTTTTATTTAAATAAATGACCAATTCACGTCGCTAAATTATTTATTTATTTTTTTTTTATTATATTGACAGTACTTTTATCTCGGATAAAATTTTATCTCGGATTGAAAAACTGGCCCTAAGAAAAATTTTGTAACGGGTATATATCGTAGATTGGTTTTGTAATTTTTTCAGCGATAGGGATTTATGATTAAAATAATGAAGAAAAGAAAATTTTGTGAACAGTATATTACTATTTTAAATAGAATTTTTATAGTTAAATTTGGTATCATCAGAAAGGTCTAGACAAGAATTTATACCTTTTCACACTGTTAGATATTTTTCAATTATATTCAATTTTTTATGCTAAGTTTTTGGAGGAATTTTGAATAGTTTTCTGGTTCTCTACATTTGTTCCGTCACATTTGTCTCTTAAATTATTTGTAATTGATCTTATCATAGCACTATTGTTTTTTAAATTTATTTCAAAAATTCCCAAACTATGTATTAGTGTGATTATAAATATCACAAAATCGTTAAGCCAAAGTTTTCTTATTCATAATCCGTAAATCTCAGTAGTTACATAGTTATTCTTACAACCCGTGCTTTTTTACAATAAAGTAAATTGTTTTGTTAATCACTCTATTTCAATTTTAAACTTTTTGAAAATTGCTCTCTCCTTTTTAGTTTGGTTTTATATTAAAGCGTATCTTTTAGTTACTTAAACTATTATTCTTTTAAATTTACCTTTAACAAACGATATCAAAATTAAAAATAATACAGAGATTTTCTATGAATAATTTTTTTCTACGAAATTTCGATGTGAGTTAGTTTATAACATCAATGCTTGAAAAAGTTATATATATTTAAAAAAAAAAAACTTTTGAATAGTTTGTTGGTTCTCTAAATTTATTCCGTCACATTTGTCTATCAAATTATTTGTAATTAATCCTGTTATACCACTAATATGTTTAAAATTTATTTAAAAAATGCCCAAACTATGTATAGTGTGATTATCAATATCAAAAAAGTTTTAATTCAAAGTTTTTTCATTATAATGACTGCAGGTTACTAGTTTTTCTTAATTTCTTAAAGAAATGATAACGGATTACTTTTCTTAATCAATTTTATTCACCCACAGGATAATCTACCAGTTATTCACTTGATTGCCAAGAAACCAGTAGGAATTCTTCACCTGCTAGATGATGAAAGCAATTTTCCAAAAGCCACCGATCTTTCTTTCCTCGAGAAATGCCACTACAATCACGCCCTCAGTGAACTGTACTCTAGACCACGGATGAATTCCGCAGAATTCGCGATAAAGCACTACGCCGGTCAAGTCTGGTACAACGTCGACGGATTCTTGGACAAAAATCGAGACACATTGAGATCGGACGTCGTGGAGCTTCTCATTAGCAGTAAAATTCAGATGGTTAGTAAGATGTTCCAGCACGTGAGATCTGCGCACGAGGCCAATAAGACAGTGAATAAACCAAATGGTCGATTTGTCACGATGAAACCACGGACACCAACAGTATCCGCGCGGTTCCACGATAGTCTTCAGCAGCTATTAGAGTCAATGTCTCAATGCAACCCGTGGTTCGTGAGATGCATTAAGCCGAACAACGACAAGTCGCCAATGAAATTCGACATGCCCTGTGTTCTGGAGCAACTTCGTTACACGGGAATGCTGGAGACGATACGGATCAGAAAGACCGGTTATCCAGTACGGCTTCTCTTTGGTCATTTTGTAGATCGGTATCGGTACTTGATATCCACACGATTGCCTAGAGGCGCGCCCAACAAGGAACTCTGTCGCATAATCTTAGACAAAGCTGCACCAGCAGACGCTCATGATCAATATCAATTAGGCTTGACCCGCGTTTTTCTTCGTGAATCACTCGAAAGGAACTTGGAGTATAATCGAGCGTTAATTTTAGAACGCGCAGCTATTACTGTTCAACGGTAAGTCCAATATACTCACCAATTATTTACCATTCGCTTTTTTGTTTTATTTAGAGCGATAATTTTATTGCTGTTATTAGGTAGATTCCTTTAGAAATCTATCTGTTATAGCCGGTTTCATGTCATAATTTTTAGAAAATTTGTCATAATATGTTTCATTTCATGGAGTAATGTCAAAAAAGATCCACCGATTATTATAAAATTTTGTCGACTCATTTTGTTGATCAATACTAATAAGATTAAGTCGGCTGCCCAATTTCAAAACACAGTAACTGACAATTTTAAGATTTTTAAAAATTTTTCTTATTAGAAAAAAGTTTGCGCGCCAAATTGATAAAAAATTTGATTTATGAATAGAAAATACTTGAATATAAATATTTTTAAGAAAAAGTACTTGAAATTAAGGTCTAAAAGTTATATATAAGAAATGCAGCAATGCTAAAAAAAATTATTGTCTATAAATTTTGCAGTTACTGTATTTTAAAATGGGGCAGCCGAAGTTCAAAGATGAGCAAAATCGGCCGGTTACACAGTAAAAAATTTTGCGTCAAAAAATTTTGTCTTAAAAATTTTTATGTTAAATATTTAACACTTTTTTGTATTGATTCAACACTTTTTGGTGTTGATTTAACACAATAAATGTTAAATCAACTCAAAAAAGTTTTAAATATTTAACACAAAAATTTTTAACACTAAGTTTTTTGACGCAATGACGCAAAATTTTTTACTGTGTAGTTTACGAGTTGTAGGTGTTTGAAAATTTTTTTTATTTTTAAAAAATTTTGAATTTCGTATATTTTATGGAAAGAATTTTTCAGATGTAAAGGATAGATGAAATCTGTTAAATTTATCTCCAACTTCATTTAATTACCTTCAATTTAAGTGATTATTCTTCTAGTTTTTATGACTTTTTTTAATTAATTCCGTAATTTTTAAAATTTGAAAAAATTTTTCAATGAACGTATTTCGGCTCTTTTTCTTTAAATAATTTTTAAGCCGTAAAATTTAGTTCAAATCTATTAAATTTATTTTAAAGTTCACATTATCTTTAATTTAAGCTATTATATGTCGACTTTAGATACTTTTTTCAATTTATTTCGTAATTGGAAAAATTAAAAAAAAATTAAGGATAAATTAATTTTTAGCTTTTATCATCAAATGACTTTCATCTGTTACAAATCCTATTTTTTAAGTAGATATCTTTAAATATCTATTTGTTGTAGTCAGTCTCATATCGTTATTTGCAAAAATTTAATAAAAAAGAAATTTTTAGGCATTATTGCCTTTTAATATCGTGTTTTTTTCAATATTCAAACAAAAAATCTAGCTATTAATATCGGGTGTGGCTGAATGGCGCTTTTTATATTTATTGTTGTTATTAATGTTTGTTTCAGATACACGAGAGGTTTTCTAGCAAGACGTAGATTTTTAAATATATCCCGTAGTACTGTCTTTCTTCAAGCAGTCTACCGTGGCTATCGCGAGAGGAAAAATTTCCGTGCTTTGAAAAAAGGCGTTATTATGGCGCAAAAGCTCTATCGTGGTAAAAAAGAACGAGAAAATTTCAAAGTACTGAAAGAAGAAATGGCTAAACGCGCGGAAATAGAAAGGGCAAGTAGAGAACGCGCTAAAGCCAAACAACAACGGGAAGAACAGGAAAGAACTTCGAGAGCTGTTGCTGGCGTTAATCATCTTGAAATTCCAGCGGAATTGGCATTTATTTACAGTAAACTCGACGGTAAATATTTTACTTATGATTATTACAGTTTTTATTACCGGCAATATTATTATATTACTAAACAAATAATTACTCGACAGATTGGCAACCGTTGCATACCGAAAGGAACTTATTAAAAGTAGTCGGCTCTGTTACTCCACTTCCTCTCACGTACAGTCTACCATCGGATATTGACCAACACCAGTTCTCTAAATTTACTAATATTTACTTCAAAAGTCACATTTTTGGCATGAAGCGCGAACCAATAAAGACCCCGTTCTTGGCTAAGGCACGGGATCAAGATTATACGGATTCGCTGATGATATTCAAGCTGATTTTAAGATTCATGAATGAAAATAATCTCAGCGGAAAACGGGAGCATGCGCTAGGTGACTATATTGTTAATAAAGGGATCGTCAATGAGAAGTTACGTGATGAAATACTTTGTCAACTGGCCAATCAAACCTGGAAGAATGAAAATGATCAAAATAAGGAACGAGGATGGTTGCTTTTAGCCAATTGCTTGTCAGCTTTTCAACCTAGCCCAACGTTATTTAAATATTTTTTGAAGTAAGTTTGTCGCTATAAACATTTATTTTTCTTTTGGACATGTCTATTCATACGTAAAAAAGTCCTAATAAATTCACACCGCGTGAATTTATCAGGATTTTTTTACGCGTAAATAGACACTTCTTTCTTTTTTCGTAAAAAATGAAATTTCCAATTTAAAATTCTTTTTATATTAAAGACACATATTTAATATACATTTTCTGCAACTTTCGTTAAGAAATATATAAAACTCAGTCATTGTGACGTCTTTCCAGAGACCCCTCAAAAAAAAGGTGTTTTCGCGTTGACAGGATCATGTAAAATCAAAAAATCAAATTGGGTCTATTATTTATTAATACCTAAAACTAGAATTTGAACGTTTGAACAAAAAAATCTTTTAATTTGGATTTTTGAAAGAGTTTAAAAAAAATGCAATTTTCATGAGAATTTGCAATAAATTGTGATTTTTTAAATTAGTTACGATTAAAAAAAACAAATCCTCCGTCCAAGTTCTTGTCATTAATATCTTGAAGACGCGTGCCAAATTTCATCAAAATCGGTTCTGTAGTTTTTAAGAAATCTTGAAGACCGACTTTGAAAATAGCGTTTTGAGAAAAACGCGTTTAAAATTTTGCGCGCTAAATACCCAAAGCTCTATCTCCTAAGCCTTTACCTCGATCGGCTTGAAAATTTAGGACAATATTCTACATTGAAAAAAAATTTAATTTGAATCAAGATGAAAATTCTTGAACCAAGATAATAATTTTGAAGAGTTTCATTGGCTTGAATCAAGATGAAAAATTCTTGAATCAAGGAAAATTTCTTAGTTTAAAAAGTTCATCAAAATTATTTACTTGATTCAAGTAATTTTTTTTTCTGTGTAAACATATTGTAGAATTTAATAAAATAAAATTAAAAACAACCCCGATTTATGACAAATAAATTGCTTATAAATCCATTAACTCTAAATTATACGCGTTTATTTTTTTCTCTTAGATATGTCTCAGATCACGCTTACAATGGTTACAAGGCTTATTGTCAACGCAAGCTCCTTCAAGGAGAACGTACAGTGATAAGAATAATGAACAGCAATCAATTAACAGCTCATCATGTACCAAGAAGTTATCCGCCGTGTGTGCTCGAATGGAGAGCTAATAGAAACCGAGTAAACATGGCTCTTAACGTCAGATTTTATGACGGTAATAAATTTAATAATCCTCAATTAGCCGCTGTATCACTAAACTCTTAAAACCCTTTTTCTATATACATCATTAATATTAATCCAACAACAAACAGGTGAAACAACAACATGTGCAGTTGATTCTTGGACAACTTGCGAGGAATTAGCAAACCTCGCAATTCAAAACCACGGAGTCGATAATTCCGGATGGACTGTTAGTCTTTGGAATTACGACACGATGGTCACCGAGACAAATGGGTTTGACTACGTATTAGACTTGATCTCCGAGATGGAGTTGGCCCCGGCGTTCCCAGCGGCAAAACATATGTTCCTAGAACAACGAAAGAACAGCTTCCCTCCAATTAAAAAGAGAGAGGTAAAGTGGGGTGTTTAGTGTTATATATTATTATATATAATGTAGATGTTTTAACCGTTACTGGTGAGAGTCAGGAATGGATCAGTATTGTTAATCAGCGAAAATGAGAATGCGAGCGTGAGAATTTACCGTCATAATATATGTTTTACTCTTTCAGCATACACAAGTCATTCGTGAACTGGAACAAGACATGGATATACCAGTGCCTGTGCTTAAGACCTTCCAGCCGTTGGAGAGAAAACCAGTGACGAAGGTGGTGGACAAGCCTGTTGAACCGGAACTTCAAACGCCTAGAAGACCGGCAGTGCCTCCACCTCAGCCACCAGTAATAAAATCACCTGTTAGTATTGACTTTTCATTAATAATCTTAATATTCATTTTATAATCCCAAGTATTGTTGAATTAAGGTAGTTGTCATGGTATAATATTGTCAAAAAATTAGTGATTATACGTAACGCAAAAGTATATGAGCTTGTAGCTAAGTAATCCATAATTTTTACGCAAGACTGTACCCGTGAAGACGCAACCCATACAATTTTTTCTGTCCAACTCTGTAGATATATACTTTTTCATAAATTGTTGAACTTTAATCCGTTATTTATAAATAATTAGACGGTCAAAAAAAATTTTTTTTTAACTCACAAAAAATACATTAAAAGACTGTCAGTTTTTTGAAAGTTTCCGATAGTTAGTTTTTTTTTATAACTAAGAAACTGGTACATAACTGCAGAGACCCCCATGAAAAAAAAAATATATATATAAATATATATAAATTATGTATAGTAAATATATTTTTAATAATTAACTTTTGGCCAATTTTCATAGATATTTTATATATTTCGAATATATTTTATATATATTCAAAATATATTTTTTTTATAATTTTTTTTTCATGGGGGGAGCGTATGCAATCAATGTTTAATATCTAATTTTTAATTGAATTCATCTCGGGTTATAGATAGTCAATCGACTTCAAATTTTTAGGATAATTGTATCATCATGTCCTTAATAAGTTTACAAAAATTTAGAATTTCCTGACGCTATGCACAGTAAAAAATTTTGTGTCATTGCGTCAAAAAATTTTGTGTTAAATATTTAACATTTATAGTGTTAAATTAACACAGAAAAGTGTTAAATTAACACAAAAAAGTGTTAAATATTTAACATAAAAATTTTTAACACAACATTTTTTGACGCATTGACGCAAAATTTTTTGTTGTGTGTCTTAACCACGACAACTACTTTAAGTGGACGGAAAATTAGCGATATTTTAAATTTAAGAAGCCTTAAATTGCTAAATACAAAAATTTATAAAAATCTTTAGTTTGATATTATTTAAATAAACATCTCTACAAAATAAAAAATGTAATAATATGAATTTTTTGTGATTAATTATAGACAAGAAAGCAGTCTCACGAACCAGTTTTAGAGTCTTCCGGAGAAATTGGACTATCTAGACAATCGGCCTTGAATGATCGTTACTTCGAGAAAGAAAAACAACGAAGTAGAAGCCTTGACAATCTACTTCAATCAGAAATTATTTTACCGCCAAGTAAACTGACTAATTTAGGGCTTTCTTCGTCAAAGTTAAACGAGAGATACCACAGTCTTGAACGAATAGGCGAAGTATCAGTTAACTCTAACTCCGAGTATATGACCCGCTCAGAAGTGTCGCAGGAAAGAAAATACAGCAGAATCGGTAGAACTACCGAGCCAAACATCGAAGAAGAAGAAGATTTGACGATAGACTTCGAGTACCCGGACATACAGTCAGTGAGTCAAACTGGAAGGTCTGAAGATGACAAGAGTAGCTATATAAGGTCTCAAACCAGGTTCATTAAAGCTCAGTACCCAAGTAAGCGAACGATACCTGGTAGCCAATCTAGTCGAGCTTACATCGAGAAAAGCGAGTATGGCGCCAAGTCTTCGGCAATGTCTGATACTAGCGAAGCACCATCTCTGGCTTCGCATGTGAGACGAGTCAGAGTTCCCAGTCAGGCATCAGATGTCGACCAGTTTTTGGATGAACTGTTCATGCCTGTTTTGGATGGCAATTTGGACGAGCTTTCAGATGCTAGGAGCTTAGCTGCGAGTATTAAGGGGACTTTTAAGAATGTGAATGATGATGTTAAAAAATCTGAAACATTAGATGACTTTTTAGAGGCCATTACCGATGATCTTGTGATACAAGAGCTGTCTTCGGCAGAATTGTCTGCTAAAATTCGCGGCGGAGGGAATATGGACATTCCTAATCAAAACACAGCATTTAACTTCAGTCCTCTGTCACCGGGGATGATGTCGCCACCTATGATGATGCCAATGTTCTCTCCTTCAGCTGCATCGGGGTCGCTACCATCAGGACAGAATTCTAACTTAAATATGGGCTCGGGTTTTCTTCCAATTCCGATTTACAACATGCAAGGACTTAATTTACCTCAGTATCCAAATTCTCCGCCAAATCAGAGCGCAGATATGGTCGCGTACCAGCAAAATCTTCAACGAGCCTTCCTACAAAGTGCGATGGCCCAGAATCTTCAAATTCAGCAGCAATTACTCGCTCAGAATCAAGCTTTTCAACAGTTGTTAGTCCAAAATGGCGTTCAACAGCCACTACCATTTTCAGATGGTGAACAAACAAATCGTGCCATGCCTTCGCAATCAACCCCTCTTAGCCAACGTTTAGAGACGGTGACTGTCAAGGCTCAAGTTCATCGATCCCAGAGCCCACCGAAGAAAGCTGGGCTAGATTTGAACAGAAAAACTAGTATTGAGTACTCGGCTAGGAAAATAAGTGTTGAGAGGAAAATTTCAGCTACGCCGGAGTTAAAAAGAACTAGTTCTGGAAGAGGCAATATTCAGAGTAATTTTACAAATGTGTTGAGTGAATTGAAAAATAGGAAAAGCAGTACTGAATGCAGTCCTGGGATAGCTAAAGGTGTACCACCGCCTCCTCCAATGCCGCCACCATTAGATGCCCATGATCCTTCGGAGTCTAGGCCATTTTTGGACCCCTATGGAAGGGCCAAGACTGTTCGCATTGGGAAGTGGAGATGGCCACCTCCCAGTGACTCGAATGAGCAGCAAATTCAGGACAGTTTTACTGAGTTTAAAATGCGCCAGCATCAGCAGCAACGGAAAATTACTCCGCAGTATCAGGAGTATAATAATACTAATGGGAATGTTAATGGGGAGGGATCGGTTGATTGGGAGGAATTTGAAATCGAAAACGTTATTGCCGAAACAAAAGCTGAAAATCATACAGTTATTTCGACATCTGTTGTTACGAAACATGAAAATCATAAGGAAGAAGGAGATAAGAAGAAGAAAAAATCTAAGTAAGTTATTTTTATTTTTTTAGAACTTGAAAGTTAATTACTATTGATTAAAAAATAAATATAGGCTTGAAATTTAAGTAGACCAATATTGATCAACTTGATGCAAAACTATATTTATATTTGAATTTACTCTTTTCATTAAATACACGCTCGGAAAAATTACAAAGTTGCGCAGTTACTTTACAAACTGAGTATTTTTATATTTCTATCCTGGTTAATTATTTTTTTTTATTTATTAGTTTAAAGTCGCATAAACTACTAAGGTTGCTTTTTGTGGTTTTTTTTTTGGGCTGAGCAGAATAATACACAGTAAAAAATTTTTCGTTAAATTTTACACAAAAATTTGTGTTGATGACTTTTTTACACAATCTGTGTTGAATCAACACTCTATTGTGTTAAATCAACATACTAAAATGTTAAATTCTACACAAACATTTTTACACTTTACACAATGACGAAAAATTTTTTACTGTGTACTTTTAAATATGGAAATTATTCATTGGCGTACGCCGGGCTCGAACTGGGACCAATGTTTTGGTAAGCAAGAGCCGAACCTGATAGGTTATTGCGCGCCCCCTGGTTTAGTGAAAAAAAAAGGATCCAATAAATTTTAGCGTTGTTCTCAAATTGATAAATCAATTCCCTTTTCTACCCTATTAGAGCATTATTTACTGAGGTTGTAATAAGAAATTAATTTGTTGAAAATTTTATTTCTTAACTGAAGAAATCAAAATTTTTCTCACAGTAACTTTCTTGTTGAAAAAAAGTTTTCTAGATTTGAAAAAAAATGACTAAAATTGTTTTTTTTTATATCAAAGAAACTTTTTTTCAACAAAAAAGTTACTCAGAAAAATTTTTATTTCTTCAACTAAGAAATAAAATTGTCAAAAATTTTAAACAAATTAATTTCTTGTCACAACACTGCCTATTTTTTCTAAAAAAAAAAATTTTACCTCAGTGAATTTAAAAAAAAAATGGCTAAATTATCTACAACAATTAAAAAAATTTCTTCAGAGCTGGTTACGAAGTCGGAGCTCAAAGACCATCGCCAGGAAGCATAGGCAAGTTAAAACTCAGCTCGGAGATGCGCCAGCGTTTAGAGAAAGTTACTGCAAATCACAGTGTTCGTTCAACCAAGACCACTGAGAAGCCAGCATTGCTCCGGGAAGATGTAAAGGTCAATAGGCTGGAGGACAATCGAAAGCTTCTGCTCCAGCAACAGTTAGGTAATCATTCATTCATTCAATAGTAAATTAACAATCTTAGCTATAAACTATCCAATTAACTTTTTATTTTCCTTTTCGTCTCCATTAAATTCAATATTTTCTTCCCATTATTTTTTTCAATTGTTAACATCAAACAAACTGTTTATATTCACTCTCTACGTTAATTTAATATGACTTAACAATGTGATGATGATGATGATGATGATGATGATGATGTCAGGTGGAAGATGGGACGATTACGCCTCAACGGCGGATGATACTCAAAGCGTGACCTCTAAAGGGACCACCGAAATGATGACGCAGGTACACGTTGTGAGAACACAAATCGAAAGAATGGAAAATAGGCCCGTACCTCCGCCTCCCCCGATCTCACCGCCGCAGCCTCCCAGTCCAAGAGGTGGAAGTATTTACAGTAACAGGTAGGTCTTTTTTTTTTTTGTATTGTAAGCTTTAAACTTGTCTGACAGGTTTTCTTAATCGGTATTTTCTTAAACAATAAAAATGATATGTTTATCATTAAAACTAAGTAAGCTAATTTATAATATTAATGTTGTTTATCTACCCATGTTGTTTACCATTTTTTTCCTCTCGTTTTTTATAGTCAATCAGGTGTACCGCAACCACGTTCTCCACCGGCGCCTGTGGAACCTAAAAACCGAGATAACTTCCGCACTTCACCTGACTCCGATACCCACGACCACTTCTCGAAAAACCAGAACATGTTTAGCCAAAGCCGAGACATTTTTGCGTCTCAAAAACACTTGCGTGAAGGCCAAGACCGAGATCAAAATTCAAAAGACTATTACAGCAAAGACAGCACCGATATCGGAAGCACCACTCACGGAGACTTTGATTCTCGCCGTGATGCAAGCTCAGACATTTTTGATCCAAAATACTCCCGTGATTTGTACGAAAATTCCAAGAGAGATTCCTTCGGAATGATGAGAGACTTATCGCCAAAATCTCGCGATAGTTTTGGACTACCCTCGACTCGTGAATTCGGAGTTGTGCCCAATACAAGAGAGTCTTTCGTGGTCGCAAGACAGAGCTTCAAAAAATTGGACCATGATATGGAGCGACGGTCCAGCATTGCTTCGACACACCAAACCGATAAATTGGAGAGGATTGAGATTGAAGAGTGGCCAGAATTCCTCAAACCTGTTTTGCCGCCGCCAGAAAAACCAGAGATTGAGAAAGCTCAGGAGATCGTTGATACGAAACTTCATCCACCTACTTCGAACACACACTTCACTTATAATCGAGTCGCTTGGACTCTGAGAGTGAAAAAAGAAGTTTTTGCTCCCAATGAAACACTTTCAAGTCCTCTGGCGCTTCATTTGGTGTTTTGTCAAGTTGCTTATGATGTTCTGGCGTCGAATCACATGAGAATTACTAAAGATGAGCGCCACAATATGCTTAAGCTACTTGATAACTACGGAATAACTTTGGAAAACCTTCAAAGTACGCAGCATAAAATTACGATGAAGAAAAATGTCGTTGATATGGCTAAACAATGGCCTCTGTATTTCGCTAGAATCTTTCCTGTGTCGGTAAGTATTTTTTTTTTTAAAGAAAAATGAATAGATTGAGAAGAGAAATGTTCGGTAATTATACCTTCTTTTTGTAGAGATCACTTTGCTGGTTTCGTAACAAAACATCCGCTGACAAAATAATATAGTAGTAAAATAACTAGTAATTAATTTTCATTACACTCGGTATAATGATATAAACATATAACAATTGTCAAAAATTCATAAAATGCGACTCTAAGCAATATTTTATTTATTTATTTATTAACTAGTTGTTACTCGCCCGCTCCGCTGAGCGCTTTATAGAATTGCATTTTTAAATCTAGACTTGAAATTTAATTAGAGTATTGTTTTGACTTGCACAGATTCCCAATTCTATCGAATTGACATGCACCTTTTATCCATGCAATTATTCTAGCTAATCATTATAACATTCCTGTGTCTTTCTTACAAAAATGAATAATAATTAATATGAAAAAAAAAAATTTGTAATGAGCATTGAAACTTTCAGTTAAAGAAATTGCAGGTCTCAAAAGTGAAGAAATTTGCTTAGTAAGGTAAAAGACCCAGTTATTAACACTGGCCTAGTTATTGACACTTGCAATTTTATTTTAATTAAAAAAAATAAATCAACTATAACAAATAAATAAATATAATTTTTTCGTTAAATTTCAAGATAATTGTTTTTTTAAGAACATTTTTTTTTTTTTATTAGAATAAAATTGCAATTGTTAAACAACTAGGCCAGTGTCAATAACTGGGTCTTTTACCTTATATAAACATAACCAATAGAATTCAAAAATTCATTTTAAACAAATGAAAATCGAATAGAATAAATTTAGTTGCAATAAAAATTCATTATTTCCAAGTCAAAAAAATATTGGTTCTGGATAAGTAATCACCAACATATCATATACTAAAATCTTCTCCATTCCTTTTTCCATTCGGCCATTAGGCATTGGCATAATAAAGTAAATCTATCTATCTCCGAAACACGCTGCAACTTATGGTATAAAAATTATTCCGATCGGTTCAGTAGTTTTCGCAGTATAACCGAACAAAAAAACCGGCTCTCCATTTATTAGTACCGATGTGCTAAGGCACAGGTCAAATGGTAATATTAAACAATTTCAATAATTACAACTATTTATACAAAAAATAATATAAATATATTACTAAATTTTTAACATTTTACTCAGTGAGAGAGGACTAATAATGGCTCCGGCTACTCAAAAATGACGTTGATGATTTGTTTATAGAAGTAATTTATAGGATTATACATTTTTAAGAATCAAATGACTATCTATTCAGCACTCATATATCTAATGATAACAGATAATCAAATATCTTATTTTTAAATACTTCTAAGAAAGTTGCATTTACTATTTCTGGTGGTAATTTTCACCAGGAACGAATCGCTGAAGTTATTAATTATTTTTGAGAAAAAAAGTATTGTAATTTAGAATTAAGAAATTCAAAACATTATTTTGGATTGCTAATCTTACAGATTTAAAAAATATTTTAAAAATCAATTTGGTAATTATTTACAAGTGGGGTCAATCCATGCCGGGCCATGTTAAATTTTTTTTTTAAATCGTTCTTTTTTATGTACTTTTCAGAAAAAAATACATCAAAAAAAGATAAAATAGAAATTTTATTTAAAAACATGAAAACCAATTTTTTTCCAACTTTTAAAGGCAAAAAAGCTATCGAAATTTTTATTTTTTCTTTTCATGACATTTTTTATCATAAATGCGCCGTAAATACAAGCAGAATAAAAAAAATTAATAAATGTTAACTTTTCACCTAATTATGGCCCAAAATGGGATTGGCCCTACTTGACAATAATTATCATCAATTCTATTTACTGGAAGTAAATAATGACCGAATATTTTTCTTTTTTTCTATTGAAGATATTTTCTAAATGACACATTATATTTTTTTAATTAATCCAACAAATTGAAATAATTATGATTATTAAGATTGGACCACAACATCCAGAAGCTCAACACATCGCAGTGTCTCATCACGGCCTAAGACTAATAAAACGATCATCAAATGGGGAATTAATGATTATCGAAACTCTTCCCCTTGAAGATATCGTTTCAGTTGGGTCTGCCAGAGCAAACGTGTGTACTTTAACGATATCATCGGGAGTTCGTCTTCCTCTTCACACAACTCGTGCACCGCAGCTGGCTGAAATGATCAGTAATTTCATTCGTGTGGTAAGTTATCAATTTCATCAACCATTATTATATAAATACATACTAAAAAAAAAAAGTATTTTCTCTTTAAGCTGTCGAAACGTGTATAAGAAAGTAATTACCTCGCGTTACCCAATTGTTTATGATTCCGCGGTCCGCGGTATTTGTGTAATATTTATCGATAGCTCGAATATATATCTACTTATATTATTTTTATACATATATGTTTACTTATACGTTCATAAAAAGAGAAGAGATTTTACTTGTAAAAATGGTACTAATAACCGATTACACAATAATGAGTTGTTGCAAGACATTTATATACTCAAGACGCATGTCACTTAGAACGTAGATATGTATGTCGTGTAAAGTGCTAGTACAAACGACAAACTTCTGGGGAAAATTAACACTGCTATGCGTGCCTCCGTAAACTATTCAGGTGCGGCCGGCCTCAAGATGCCTTCGAACGATCAACGAAGACATTCTCGTGCGAGTGCTTATGGTATATTGTCCGTTTATATGCCTATCGCAATTATAATTGTGATATAATAATAATAATAATAAAAAATTCTTAGTAAATACAAATATGCGTATCTTACGCACCCATTCTATGATGATAGTAATCAATTGAATGAATAGAAAATTTATTGCAAGTAAAAAGTTTTATAGGAAACTTAATGTTGCTTTTTTAAATTTGATTTTTCGAATTGCTTCACAAAAATTATGTTAATTTTTCGTTTTTTTTTTTTTAATTTTAGTGAAATTTACGCCAAATTTTTTAAACTTCATTTTTTTTACTTATCTAATTGATTCAACTACACTGAGAGAAAAAATTTCTTTTGAAAAAATGGACATTGTTGTGACAAGAAATTAATTTGTTGAAAATTTTTAACAATTTTATTTCTTCGCTGAAGAAATTAAAATTTTTATCAAAATAACTTTGTTGTTGAAAAAAAGTTTTCTAGATTAAAAAAAAAATCAATTTTAGATAGACAGCTTTTTAATGTTCATCCAAAATCGTTTTTCCCAAATCTAAAAAATCCTTTTTCAACAAGAAAATTATTGTGAGAAAAATTTTGATTTATTCAGCGAAAAAATAAAATTGGTAAAAATTTTAAACAAATTAATTTGTTGTCAGAACAATGCTCATTTTTTTTAAGAAAAATTTTTTCTTTCAGGGTAATTCTTGAAGCACACTAATAAAAAAACTTAACTTGATTCAAGAAAAAAAATCTTGAACCAAGATAAATCATTTTAAAAAAGTCAAAATTTTTGAATCAAATAGAATGAAGTTGAATAAAAATTTTTAAAAATTGTTAAATTAAGAAATTTTTCTTGGTTTAAGTAAATTTTACTTAGTTCAGGAATTTTTCTGCTTGATTCAGAAAAACGAAACTGTTTAAAATGATTTTTTTTAATCATAATATTTTGTCTAATTGAAATAAATTCAACAGAAAATAGGAAAAAATTTATAAAATGGTATAAAAAAATTTTTTTTTAATTAATACTCTCCATTTTTCCCCTTCTCTATACTCTGATATATATGCAGATGAATATGGTGTGATGCTTATGAGGTAGATAATAAAACGTGTGAGATATGAATTAGCATGATTTTCGGGCGTTTCGAATAACGAGGTCGGGAGGTCGGAAAGATCTTCATGGGAATGTAACGGTTAAATAAATCGACGAGGCAATATGTGCACACATACACTTGTCCGTATACTATATGCTATATATAGTATATAATATAAATACAAATACAAATATAGACATATGTATCTGTGACTTCGACTTCACCTGACTATGACTATCGGTCACGGACCGATGACGAGATAGGTGGACTTATGTTCGTAAAACCCCGCCCGATTTGCTTTGATTTCTTATTATTTTCCATATTACAAACATATATATTTATAAAAATAAAAAAAAATGATACAGCAAAATAAAATAAAAGTTTTTTTTCAATTGAGTGAATCTGTTATTGCGGGGGTTGAGCTTCGGTGGCACTCAACTCTTCAGGGTTGATTACGGTGATTCTCAAAGTACGCACGAGCGATCTGACCGTTAGCCTCAGACATAATATTAATAAATCAGAATTAATAAAACGGACATGAACCGAGTACAAGCTTTTACGGATGAACGATTCCCAACGGCCTTATCTTCTAGCCGGAAGGTTTCGTCATGACAATCGACACTTATTACCAGTAATTGAAAATAAATATGCAAGTACAACTATGGAAATACGTAAATTACTATTGCGGTTTGTAGTTGTGGATTTATCATTTCTAACCACATTCTTTCCTTTCTCTGATTTCATTATAATTTATTATGAATCATAATTTTTTTAAAGGAGTATTCTAGTCTCGAGACACAAATTTTAGGTATTTTTTGAAGTGTAATAAAAAAAATATTCAATTTTTCTAAATCCTTTTTTTTCTTCAAATATTTTTTGTCTCAAAAAATGGCGCACTCTTGTGTACATGATTCTAGATCTTTTAGTCACCTAAAATAATAAAAAAAAAAAAAAAAGGCGGAGGTTAAAAATAAATTGTTTTTAATTTGTTTTTTTTTTTTAACATTTACAAATTTTTAAAAAATAGTAAAAGTTGAAATTTCTCTGTAAATCTAGTTCAGATGATAAAAGGAAGTATACACTACGAAAAAAAATACTTTTACTCAATTAACAATTTCTTAGGTCAAGAAATTTGATTCTATTTATTATTAATTAATAATTATTAATTTCTGAAGAGAAGAGCATCAATATTTATCTGTAGATAATAGATAAACAAGAGAATAGCTTTATTTAAATTAAGTAAAAATTATTTCAATCAATTTAACAAGTTCTTGAGCTAAGAATATATATTCTTGAAAATTTTCAAGAATATGAATTCTTGTTTCAAGAAAATTTTCCTAATGAAAGTATTTTTTTTTCTCAGTCTATACTGATAAAAAAATTAACTTGACTCAAGAGAATAAATTCTTAAAACAAGAACATTTTCTTAGACCAAGAATAATTTTTTAACTCAAGAATTTATTTTCTTGACTCAAGAAATCATTTTCTTCAAAATGCTAATTTTGGTTCAAGACTTTGACTCTTGAGTCAAATTAATTTTTTTGTCAGTGTACAGAAGGCTCTCATCAATTTTTCATTAAAATTGACTCAATAGAACTTGAAATTTCATGCTCATCGTCTTGAAAAAAATAATATCGAAAAAAACTTGTTCAAAGTTTTCGGTTTTACTCAAACCAGTTAAATGCTATTTGACTAAAGAATCTATATCTTTATCTTTAAAAAAAATTGTAATTTCAAAAAATAGTTCTTAGTACATTTTCTTAAAGTTTTGAACTTTAAAAAAAAATTTTTTAGAATTCTAGAGCAGAATATCCCTTATGAGATTAGAAATTTCTCTTAAAAAAATTATATAAAAATTCTTCTTTTCTATTAAAGAAACTTCTTCACTCCAACGAAATACTTGTGTCATTTACTTCACACATGTACAGGAAAAAAAAAAGATTCATCGTATTTGAGTTCACAAAGGTTTATTACTTCCTTAACGTCCCCGTTTTGTCTGCCCGATTCCCCTTCTACATATATAAAAAGAACCTGTGCGTATAATATGTCGTCAATGATGTGTATGGAGAAATCGAAAAGTTACGTCTACACACTTCCATTAATACAGACATATGTATACATTTAGTATATAACAAACGTATGCATGCATAAGAAGTCTTTGGAAAACGAACGTAGTGATTAGAAGAAGCTATAATAAAACGATAACTAAGTTTCTTATCTGGGACTCGGACTCGTGTTCGATCAAGTGCGTGAAATGCAAGAACTTTTATAATGTATAATAAACACACTTACATGCTCGCACACTTTTATATTTATACATCCTAAGAAGGAGAAGGAAGTAAACCAAAGAAGCAATGATATGAAGTGCGTCAAAATAAGTAGCGAAGGAAAAAGGAAAACAACTGGTCAGCACATATGACCACTCATTGGAAAGCCAATTTACACCCGGAGTTACCTTACTAGCTATAGATATAGCTTCTATGCTACATATGTCCTAATTATAGATCATAGATGTATATCAGATTCGCATCATTACTCATTACATATAGTGCTCTGGATTCTGGATTCGATCATCAAGAATCTCTAAATTGAAGAAAAATTTATTTGCACATCAGACATCACACTAACACAATTCTGCATGTAATGATAATGATAGTATTTTAACGTGTACATGCTTGGGATTTTTTAAACGATTTAGCAGAAAATAGCATCCAGTCTCGTGCACGAAATTTGAAATACACGAGCTAGCACTACGCAACAGAGTTGATGAGGCATAATTAACTTCATTAAAGGGCGTTGATGAGAAATAGACATTTTAATTGCAAATTCTTACACCTGTGTCGTGCTTTTTGAAATATGTCTTGTGGTATTCATTTTTGTTATTATTCTATAGAATTTTTTTTAGAAATTCTTGTTGAATTATATAAAACTAGCTGTTGCTCGCCGGGTGCTTTATAGAATTGCATTTTTAGATCTAGACTTGAAATTTAATTAGAGTATTGTTTTGACTTGCACAGATTCTTAATTTTATCGAATTGGCATGCACCTTTTATCCATATAATTATTCTAGCTAATATTCATTTTAACTTTCAATGAACAATCATTATAACATTCCCATGTCTTTCTTACAAAAATGAATAATTGATTTGAAAAAAAAAAAATTTGTAATAAGTATTGAAAGTTTCAGTTAAAGAAATTGCAGGTCTCATACACGGAAAGAACAAGATGATACTGGATATCATCCCAGATTATATTGAATGAAAAAATTTTCAGATAGTAGCTAGTATAATCCAGATAACAATGAGTATAATCCAGATTACAATGAGTATAATTCAGATATCACGCAGTATAATCTAAATTTTTTTAGCTACTATCTGAAATTTTTTTTTCACCACAAATATCACTGAGTATAATCTGGGATGATATCCAGTGTCATCTTGTTCTTTCCGAGTAAGTGAAAAAATCTGCTTAGTATATAAACATAACCAATAGAATTAAAAAATTTATTTTAAACAAATGACAATCGAATAGAATAAATTTGGTTACAATAAAAATTCATTATTTCTAAGTTAAAAAAAAAAATATAGGCTTCGGATAAGTAATCACCAACATATATACTAAAACCTTCGCTGAACACGCTGCATCTTATGGTATAAGTATTATTCCGATTAGTTCAGTAGTTTTCGCAGTATAACCGGACAAAAAAAGACCGGCTCTCCATTTATTAGTATAGATATATATTAACTTTTCTAAAATAAAAATAAAAATTTGAATTTTATGAGTTCTAAAAAAATTTTTCTAAATTCTTAATGAAATTTTACAAAAAACTACCGTGAAAAATAATTACCATAAAATTATTTTGCATAAAAATAAATTAATTACACAAAGTTTTATTTAATTACTCTTTAAGCATGAATGAATTTTCCACTATTTAACGAAAGATCATAAAATAAAATAAATTTGTAAAGAAACATTTCCTTCCCGACTGTATAATTATTATTATTATCATCGTCTTAATTATATTACGCATTCCATTATCTTTTCTTCAGACGATAATCCCGCAGTTAACGTCTTTGAATTTAAATGAGGTTCTTAAACATTAAAGTCTTTAGTGGTTAACTTTGAGAAATAGTCACTGACTGTCTATTTATGTAGTATTTAATTGTGGATGCGCACTTAACACACTCCGATTTATCATCAATAAATCCGTTTAACGTATACTGTATTACAGAGCTTATTCTGTGAGGCAAACTTTCCGGTTTCTCCCGTTAAAACACGGAAAATTATAATAAATTTATAAATTAACAAATTACCCGCATCTCGGAAATATTTAAAACATTTTTCGATAAATTTTCTCTAAAAATCTACAATACGGTACCTGGGATCAGGTAACTCGTGTTTACTTGGGCTACAACGCTTGTATTACGGTAATGCGTGTAAACCTCCGGACCGGATATACCACATTTGAATTGGTAATTGGTAATTATTATTACTCAGTCCTCCGTCAGTGTTTTTTTTTTTTCGCATCAGCTGCCCCAAATTTTTACTATTATTTTTTTAAATAAAAATGATTTATTTCATTGTCATAGCCGCGTAAATTCACCAGTTATTTATAAGGCATTGTACTAGTATAGTAAAAGATTATCTTGTAAAAAGTATCTTTATAATATAAATTGAGCGTGTGTTTCATACGTAAGGTGAATTTAAATTCAATGCATAGATAAGAGAGATAAAGTGAATTTTTATTTTCGGCTGTTATTTTTCTATTAAAAATCTATTGAGCAGTCGACTCAGTATTCAGTATAATAAGTACTAGTGAGTATACTGTTGACTTTAGTATCACGTGCCAAGATTTATTTACACACAGATGAAAGAAATGAATAAAAATAAAAAGGCAATTGTATATCCACATATTACACATTACATATCGGAATAGGAAGAAATAAAAAAGGCAATACGTGAAGGCAAGGCCTTCAAGTATTCGATGCATGCTCAGCGAGAGTTTTCTAAGATCGATCAAGGCAGATCGACCGGTCTTACTGGTATGTGCACGATTCACTTACAAACCTTTTATAGAATTTTATTAAATTTAAGTCCACATCATTTGACATGTTACATACTGTGCTATGCCTTTTTCATTAAATTTTATGCCTCTATCCTTTTTTTGGATTGCCAAGCCAAACTACTGATCTACTCTAAATATTTTAATCGTGTTTATTGACAACTAAACTTATACGCGGAGAAATTTTTTTTTTTATATTTTGTAGCTGGAAAAAAAAATTACACAGAAAAAAAAATTATCTTGAATCATGTAAATAATTTTGAAGAATTTCATGTTCTTGATTTGAGTAAAAAAAGGTAATTATTTACAAGTGGGCTATAATTAGGTGAAAAATTAACATTTTCAAATTTTTTTTATTCTATTTGTTCTTACGGCCATTTATGATAAAAAATGTCGAGAAAGAAAAAAATCAAGATTTCGATAGCTTTTTTGCCTTTAAAAGTTGAAAAAAATTTTGGCTCATGTTTTTGGATAAAATTTATATTTTATCTTTTTTTAATGTTTTTGATATATTTTTTTTTGAAAAAAACATAAAAAAAAAATGGTCAATTTGAAGAAAAAAAAAAAAATTTAACATGGGCTAACATTTTTAAATAATTAACTAGAAAAATTATCAAACTAAGAATTTTATCTTGGGTCTAGATTTTTTTTCTTGATTGATATTCATGTTATTTTTTTTTTTTTCAACGCTGGAATTATGTCACTATCATTAAAATCTGATAATCTCAATTATATATTTAGTTTTT